AACCAAATAATGCTTATTAAGATATTAATATTTTTTTATCTATAAATTGTGACAAAAATAAAAGTGATTTTTTTATCAGATCTGCTAATAAAGTCAGTAGCGTTTCTGCAAACGGCTTATCATATCTCTATTGTTTGTGTATTACTGTGTAATTTGATATATAATAGTAGTTTTTTTGAAAAAAGAAATCTTTTAAAAGCAAAATAAAATTTTAGTTCATTATATATTTAGTTCAATAGAACTGTATATAAGTCTATATTATATAAAGTTATATATACTTTATATACGGGTATATATATATATATATATATTATTGAAAAACTTAACAGAAAAAAAACATAAAACTCTCATTTTTACTTTTCAATCACTCAAACATTCACCCACTCAGTCAGTCACTTACTCACTCACTCACTCACACAGTTAGTCAGTCATATAAAATTTGATATTACAATACAATAGCTGAACCTAATAAGCGTTTTATTTGAAATAATATGATTGATGAAGATTTTTGATGTCCGCGACATATGTTTTGAAAAATGACCCAAAAATATTAATTTTAAAACTTATTTATTGATCAAATAAATATGTTATTTTGACAAAATTTTATATATAATTTCATAGAATATAGTAAATCATTTATATTATTGATTTTCTATGGTTTTATTAGATTTTATTAACTCATGGCAAACACTCAATCATTCAAATATATACTGATTTTAATTTAATTGGTACTTAAATTCTAGACATTACTACTACTACTACTACTACTACTACTACTACTACTACTACTACTACTAATAATAATAATAATAATAATAATAATAATAATAATAATAATAATAATAATAATAATAATAATAATAATAATAATAATAATAATAAAAGGAGGCACAGTGGTGTAGTGGTTAGTGTGTAGGGCTATGTAGTGTAATGGAGAGTAAGATCTATAGTTCGAGCCCCGATGTGGTAAAGCAATTTTTCTGAGAAAAAAAATTGTTTTAACTGTGCTTCCCGTCCCTGCCCAACCAACGCTGTTTAGGACGGCCAACTTAAGTAGTATGGGGAAAGCGGGGTGCTAAGTGAGGACGAGTTTCTGCCCGACCCCGGGTATCGGTACTTCGGTATCGGTACCCACCTGGGGGTACCCGCAAGGGTGCCCCCACCCGGGGGTGCCAGTAAAAAGGTGCCCCCACCCCGAAGAGACGTCCGCAAGGATGTCTCTTCACCCTTCGAGTAGTTACTCGTCCTCACACGCAATGGCCACTTTTGTTTCAAAAAATAAAAAAATCCTATTTCAACAAACACATGTTAGTGGTGAGAAATGGGTGGCAATAGACACATGTTAGTGTTGAGCTTATTCTAGGGACTGGGACCCCGTAAAAAGGCCAAAAACAAATATATATATAATTATGATTACACGTAGTCGAAGGAATAACGGGGGGTGTTCGGGAGGTACCCTCTCAAATAAATCCCGCGTTCAGCAGGTAGGCATTGACTGCAGTTCGTTAAGTATGCATCATATCCCACGCAGTGATGTGCTATGCGGGCAAAGCTGTGATGTAATGCGACCGCAGACTAGTCAACAAAATCAGACTAACCTCCAAAATGTTTCAGTTCAAGCTGGTTCTCAGCGACAACTGACCAATTTGGTTGAAAAATCGCAAAAGCGCATGAAATGGACACGAGATGAATACCTTGATAATGCGCGAATACTACAGATCAACTCGACTCGAAACAAATATGACTGATTAAAGAAACCAAATTTACTTAGCATTCAAACAGAAATATCCAGAACTAAATGTAACGGAACAAAGGATTGCAGACCAGCGGCGATTCTTAGCAAAGAATAATAAAATATCCCCAATAGAATTACAAGAAATCAAACAGCAAGTGGCACATGAACTATCATTAAATGAAACAACTGAATTAAATACCACAGTAGAAGTAGTGCCAGAAATGGAAGAGACACCTACAACAACAGATAACAGAATCAATACAAATGATGAAATAAATAGAATAACAGCAAAAAATGAACTAAAAACTTCTTTAGAACAATATAAAGACTTTGAAATAGAACTCAGACCTAAGTTACCAAAAATAAAAAGTGGCGTAAAAACAAGATCTACAATAATAACAATTAATGATATACTTAAAGATTACATCGAAGATAACATGTCGTTGAGCACAATTAATACAATAACATACTGTGCAGCAGTAGCAGTATCGAGACTCTTAGGCTACAAAATACAACACATGTCAACTACAAAACTAAATCAAGAAAATATAATACCTAAATGGCAAAAGCGAATAGAGACACGTATAGAAGGGAAAAGACAAGTAATAGGAAGAATAACGCAAGTGTTAAATGGAAACAAATCAAAAAGACTTAACCAATCATTAAAAGATATATACCGATTATTACAGACAAAACCTGGAAAACCTGAATTTGAAGCTATTATCCGGAATTACAACGACACATTAAAACAAACAGTTCAAGCACTATCACAAAGAATCAGAAGATATAAACAACAAAGCGAAAGACGAAAGGAAAATACAATGTTCTATAATAACGAAAAAATATTCTATAGAAATCAAAACAAAATAAATTCAAGCAATATTAACCATACACCACAAATAGATGAAATAGAAAACTACTGGAAAGAAATCTGGAGCAACCCAAAGGAATATAAAGAATCTAATTGGATAAATGATATTGAAGATGAAAATAAAGAAATACCACCTATGACTTCAGTAAATATAATTAAAGATGACTTAACCGAAGCCCTCAAGAAATTCCACAATTGGAAAAGCCCAGGACAAGACAAAATACAAAACTTCTGGTACAAACACTTTACAACAGTACATCAACCAATGGCAATAGCAATGGATAAAATAATAAAAACAGGACAAACCGATGACTTCCTCACTTCCGGAATAACATATCTACTCCCAAAAACAGAAAGTACATCAGATCCCAGCAAATATAGACCCATCACTTGCCTAACAACAATGTATAAAATCCTAACATCCATAATATCAACAAAAATATATAATCATTTAAGTAACAACAACATAATAGCTGAAGAACAAAAAGGCTGTATAAAACACTCAATGGGCTGTAAAGAGCAATTAACAATAGACAATATTATAACAATAAGAGCTCGTCAAAAACATAGAAATCTTGAAATGGCATACATAGACTATAAGAAAGCATTCGATTCAGTCCCACATAAATGGTTATTAAGAGTGTTAAAACTATATAAAATTGACAACACACTGATAAACACATTAGAAAATATGATGAAAAAATGGAAAACTAAATTGTGTGTCAATACAAATAATGGAACAAAAATAAGTACAGAAATCAAAATAAATAGAGGAATATTTCAAGGAGATTCACTCAGTCCTCTGTGGTTCTGCTTAGCCATAAACCCACTATCATCACTACTTAAAAAGCTAAAAGGCGTAAATCTAAAATCAAGTGATACAAAATATAATCTAACACATCTACTATATATGGACGACTTAAAACTATACGCCGAAAAAGAATCTGATTTAAATGCAATGTTAAAAACAACAGAAACTTTCTCCAATGACATAAATATGGAATTTGGATTAGATAAATGTGCTATAATGAAATTGAAAAGAGGTGTCTACTCAGAAAGACCTGAGTACGAAACTGATAATGGATATATAAAGGCACTAGAAAATGGAGATATATACAAATATTTAGGTATTAAACAAATGCATAAATCTAAAATGACAGCAGTTAAAGAAGAAATAAAGAAAACATTAAATCAAAGAATCATTAAAATACTAAAATCTCAACTAAACTCAAACAACAAATTCAAAGCCATAAACACTTGGGCAATACCTGTACTGACATACTCGTTCGGAATAATAAAATGGAGTAAAACAGAACTCGAGACCATCGAAAGACATATAAGGCGACAACTTACAATGTTTGGAGTACACCACCCTAGAAGTTCTGTAGCACGACTATGTGTTAGTAGAAAACATGGGGGTAGAGGGTTACTAAACATTGTAAGCCTTGAGGCCAAACAGCGAGAACTGTTGAGAAAATACCATCAACAAAAATGCTATGTCTCAGAGCTCCACAAAATAACATCAACACTCGATTACAACTACACACCTCTAAACCTCAGCAATATTGAACATCAAATAGATATACAAAATGAAAAAGAGAGGATTAACACATGGGCCTCAAAAGAACTCCACGGAAGATACCGGGCAGAACTCAACCAAACACACGTAGACGAAGAAATGTCTACAAAATGGCTGAAGTACGCCGGTCTTCACGGAGAGACAGAGGGGTTCATGATGGCAATACAAGATCGAGTGGTTCCGACCCGTAACCATCAGAAATATATCCAAAAGCTAAACATACCAACAGACAAGTGCAGGATGTGTCATATGGAGTCCGAAACAATAGAACATATACTAAATGGGTGTAAAGTACTCACAAATACCGAGTACCTAAGCCGTCACAATCAAGTAGCCAAGATCATACATCAGGAACTGGCAATAAGATTCGGACTAATCAAAGACCCATTACCATACTATAGATACGAGCCACAAAGTGTAATGGAAAACAACAGTGCCAAGCTCTACTGGGATAAAGAAATAAGAACTGATAAGACTGTGGCCCACAACCGCCCAGATATAGTCCTAGTAGACAAACATCAAGATAAGGCGTATATAATAGACATATCGGTCCCACTAACACATAAATTACAGGACACGCATAGTGAGAAACGTCGGAAATATACAGACTTGGCCTATGAGATGAATAAGATGTGGCGCATTAAGAAAGTTGAAATAATACCTATAATACTGTCATCAATGGCCGTAATACCGAAAAATCTGGCCCTAAGTATGGAATCACTTCAAATCAGAAAAACTAAGATCTATGAAATGCAAAAAGCAGTGATACTTCAGAGTTGTAGAACAGTCAGAAAAGTACTAGATTTGAGTTGAATCTAACCAGTCGTGTCTCTGCCACCAAAAGTGGCCGACACAACTGTGATCACACCGGAACAACCGTGATATACAAAGATAATAATAATAATAATAATAATAATAATAATAATAATAATAATAATAATAATAATAATAATAATATATTTTTAATATATGTATAATTAAGTATTTAGTTTAAATTTAATTCTAATCATTAATTAAATATTACAAAATTAGACCAAAAGTTTTCATAGTCTGATTAAAATGTTATTGACTTTTAAGAGTATTAAATTAAATACAATCCACTATATATATTGCAGATTAAATATATATATGTAGATTAATTCAAAGCTATAATTCAAATAACAAATTTGTAATATAATCGGTGATAAATTATCTAATATTGGGTTAGAAACTCACAAAAAAAATATATATATATTAAGTTATTATTGTATTATAGATTATATAATTTATTTTGGACGTCCTTCGAAAATGTTCCCTATTTGAAATCTATTAATATAAAGTTATATATATATTATATTTATGATTTATTTTAAAGATTTAATAATACTAAAATACTCAGTGCAATTGTACATAAAATGTTTTAATGTATAGTTTATGTAAATATTGAATTATTGACTTTAAATAAATTAAATTGTAAAAAATTTGTGTTATAAAAATCTTTTAAATTATTTAGTAATATAAATAAAATTGAGTGTAATATTTTTTAAAAATATACAATTGATTTTTTTGTGTAACTTTTTTTTGTCAATATTGTAAATTACTATTGAGTTTATTTGTCAGCAAACAAATAAATTAATATCACTTTAAGGCAAATAAATTTGGTATTAATAATACAAAAGTTACTACAATTTTATAAAATATATTTTGTAAATATGTTATGTTATTTTTTTTTGAATTTATAAATAATGAAATAATAAATACTTGATTTATGATTATTATGATTATTAGAATATTCTTACAATGATTTTAATTAATTTGAATTTTTATGTTTTAATTGTTGTTAAATTGCATATAAATTATTAATGTCTATCATTAATGCCGATCGATTAACTTTATTTAATGTATATTCATTTGAAAGTAGTTAATACTATAAATAATAATTATAATGTAATTCAAATAAATAAAATTTATTTATAATAATTATAAATATTTGAATAAATTCAATATTTTTTCTTTCAGTTTAGTTTTAATACAATAAAAGAAAACAATAATTTTTTATTATTTATCTAAATAATTGATATGTTTGTAAATTACAAATAACATTTAATATGAAAATAAATAACATTTTGAATACAAAATTATACCTGTAGAATTAATATATAATAATATAGAAAATTACCAATATAAATAAGTTATCAATATAAATATTAAAATATTATTTTTTTATAGAAAAATTAATATTAAAATATACTACTTTTATTATTCATGTTTATATCATAATATTTTTTTAATGTTTGTATAATAATATGATAAAAAAGCTTTTTTAAAGCTTATTATTATTATTTATGTCATAAGAATTTTTTAAATTTTAATAAAGAACTTAATATTAAAAAAAAATTCCCAATAAAAATATGCGATGCCTTCCGGTTATACATTATTTTAATTTTATTTTGCTTTTATTATCAACTTTTCTTATAATAAACATTTATTTATATAATAAATATTTTTAATAATATTGTTTATCTACTGTAAAAGTATTTTAGAATTTAATATAAATTAATAATTTTTTTTGTCCACAAATATATCGTTTTAGAATAAAATTTAAAATATTTTATAACATACAGTATTTAATAAAGTACAGTATAATAATAGTGATAAATTAAATAACAAAAATTTATTTTTATAATAAATTATAATATTATTATAAATGAAGACATAATAACAACATATAATATACTAAATATTATTATATTTATAAACAAAAAATCTAATTATAATACAATAATAGAGTATTTAATATAACTTTTTATTAAACTTTATTCTGTCTTCTAGTTATTGTTGTCAATGTGATCACTGATCAGTAAAATAGTTTTTTATGAAATGATTTTAAAAACTATTTTTTTAAATTAGTCACTAAATTCATGCGCAAAAATTAATTTAATTTTGTTTTTTTCAAATAACACATGTACATAACAATTTGACCGTTATTTTAAAGTTTTTTTAAAATAATTAAAGTAAAAGTAATTTTTTAATTTTTTTGTGTAATAGATTTTAGTAATCTATGAAAATCGTAAAAGTTTGATATTTATAAGTTATTAGTTATAAAAACAATATAATAAACAGAAAAAATATTGTATATATACCTGTGTGTGTGTGTGTGTGTGTGTGTGTGTGTGTGTGTGTGTGTGTGTGTGTGTGTGTGTGTGTGTGTGTGTGTGTGTATGTGTTTGTGTCGGTATATTATCCATTACAAGATTAATGTCTACATAAAAATAAAGTATATATGCAGTACCGGTATAAAAATTATATATCTTATAGTTATATTAACACAATCTTATAATCTGTTAATTGAAATAATATCGATATGTTTTATAGACATATAATATGACAACAAAAACAAAAAAAGCTCTTTATTTCTGCAAACAAATACATTTTTTGTTTGTTTTCTTATATATATATCTTAATCAATATAGACAACAATGCATTCAATAACATAAATTTTAATGGATATTAATTATTGTACTATTGTTTGCTTAAATACATACCAATATAATAATGTATAGTAAATACAATAAATTTGTAATATTGTTTAATATTAATGTAATAATATTTATGTCTAGTAGTTAAAGTATTAATAAATATCATTAAACCTATGTACTAGACTTAATAAATATATTGAATAGATAATATAGTATAATTAACATAACTGTATATTTAACCTAACATAAAGTCAACAATATTTCTATATTACTGTAGGAAAATATTAATTAAACTAAAATTTATAATTCAAATTATTACTACTATAGTAGTCTGGTTTATAAGATTTGTCAATTTATCGACAATCATATCAAAAATTTTTGAATATAAAAGACATCTTATGTTAAAAAATATCAAATAAGTCTCTGTATTATTATTACTACTACTATTGTTGTTGTTGTTGTTGTTGTTGTTGTCTTATATCTTTCTCTTTTCAAAAAAATAAATACAAAATAAATAAAAGTTTGTATTATATGCTATAATGACACACTTGTTAGGTGTTTGAGATTCAACCGGAATTTTAATGCAAAGTGAGAGTTAGGTTAGACTCTAATCATAGAAAATAGTTCTCAAACGACTTGTTTTAAAATTAACATTTATTTACTTTAAAAAGACAAATATAATATATAGTATATTAAAGATTTATTTTTTTTATATATATAATACTTTATTTTGATAAGACATTTATTGTAAAGCTTACAGTAATATTTACTATCATATTATATATATATTGTATGTATGTGTGTGTAGTGTATAATATTATAGATTTGTTTGTTAGGTGTGTGTGTGTGTGTGTGTGTCTGTCTGTCTGTCTGTTTGTCTGTGAGTATGTTTATGAATACACTTGGGATCACTTTTTTCAAGTTTGATTTAAAACTATTTACAATAACATATTGCTTGTCTCTACAGTGTAATACAGTATTATTAATACTACATTATATATATATATATTATAAGATTATATAATATTATATTTATATAGTAAATGCACATAAAATCTCATTGCAAACAATTGATAATTTAAATTGTTTTCACACTTTCACTGTTTTTATTTTCAAACAAATAAGTGAAAATTAATAATGTTTACAAATGACTACATTTAAGAATAGTGTGAATACAATGAATTGAATAAATAATATTATTTTTCAAATTATATTATTGATAATAATATTATAGAAACTTTTACATCTAAAATAAACATTTTTTTCCTATGAATTTAATTTAAGTACAATGAACTTCTATACAATGGATTAGTTTTATAGAAATTGTTTATTTATATATATACGGTATATATAATTAATAAAATGCTAACTATAATAAAATACAGTATAAATGTAATGAATAATATTAATGCTAAAATTATAATTACAAAAATTTATACAATTCAATATATTTCTTAACGAAAAAATAACCAACCAACTATTTACATTTCATTATTTTTAAGCATAATTAATTAAAATAAAATAAGTCATTAAGGAAATTGTACACTCGGGGCAATCAATAACAATACCATAGATTGTATAATGTTTTACACACACAAAAAACATATATTTAAACCATCATTATTATTATTATTTAATTTATTATTATATCAAGTGTAATGTCTATGTTTTGGATATATTTGACATAACCATGAGTTAGAAAAGTGTGTGTATGTGTGTGTGACATAAATTTCAAGTGATTTAATTAATATGTTTGACATATGTTTTTGTCTCATAATGTATAAACCTTTGACTTTTATTTAATGTAACATTTAGCTAATAATAATTGATTGAATCTTTTAATATTTTAAGACATTTGTTTTGTCTGTTTGTTTGTCTGTCTGTCTGTCTGTATGCGTGCACATTTCATCAACAACCATATTTTAATTCAAATGTAAAAATGTATTGTTTTATTTTCATTTTTTATTGAAAGCAATGTTATTTCTATGGGAAATTTTAAATGATTATTGAGCTCAGTTAGGTTTTATGGACAGGTAGGCAGGTGCTGTGTAATAACATTTTGCTATATTATATGAGTCATAGAGCACCGGGAGGTTAGCTACCTGTGCTAAGTTTTTGTAAAATTTTCTCAAATACAAAAATTTTCAATCTGTATTAAAATTTTCAATTTTTATTGAAATCAATGTTATTTCTATGGGAAATTTTAAATGATTATAGAGCACTGGTAGATTTTAGGCTCAGGTAGGCTGATGTAGTGTAACTATATTTTGCTATATTATATGAGTCATAGAGCACCGGGAGGTTAGCTACCTGTGCTGTTTTTGTAAAATTTTCTCAAATACAAAAATTTTCAATCTGTATTAAAATTTTCAATTTTTATTGAAAGCAATGTTATTTC